ATCTAATACTTCTAATACTATATTAGTCTAAAAATTAATACATAAAATATAACAACCAATTTCAAGATGTCAATTTTATTAGCCACAAAAATCTAAAGTTGCATTTCAAATGTTTAGGTATGAAATTGATTACATTACCTTCAAGGCTTGTATTATACTGAGTGCTCCTTTCCCACGAATACAATTCCAACTTAAATCTAAGTCATTTATACCTTCATTTGTTGCCTGTCAAATAAAACCAGCCCAAAATTATGAACATTTCTTAGAATATTACTAAATGAAATGCTGTTACGCAAATTTTCAAAAATTTCCCATAAAATATTTGTCTGTAAATAAATCAATCAACAAATTCCTTGCTCTTGTAGATATTACAGCCTAGTTAATTACTTTGAACCCGATCTTCCCTTACACATGTTAAGATAGCTTGCCAGGCAAGGTAATATACGCCCACTGGCAGCTTTGATTTTGAACATAAATATTTAGCAGTACAGAAACAATCCCCAGTGTGAAATATTCAATTTTCAATCATACACTTCTTTTGAACTCTTTAGCACAACACTGAATAATATTGAGTATGAGTTATTGAAAACTCTAGAAGGCAAATATTCAATCTTCAGGACTGAATAATAAAACCAAGTTTTGTCAAAATCCAGAAAGAATCATGCCTTTTTGTGTTTAAGAGCTAAATTTGAAAGCGGTTTTTCAAAAGAACAAGGGCAATAACTCATACCAAATATTTTTCAATTTTTCTGTTTTTCAATACTGTTTATCCATGGGTGATAACAAAAAACACTCATACCAAGTTTCACCAAAATCCGTCATGAATTGCACCTTCTAGAGTGTTTACGAGCGTTTCAAGAACAAGGGCAATAACTCATAGTAAATATTTTTCAATTCGTCTGATTTTCAATAGGGTTCATCCTTGAGTGATTACAAACAACCATACCAAGTTTCATCGAAATCAGTCAAGAATTGTGCCTTATAGAGTGTTTACGAGCAATTGTGGACGGACGGACCGACGGAATGAGGTGACGACAATATACGCCCCCCATTTCATGTGTAATAAATAATAAAACTTGATATCAAATACCATTCTTTAATACCAAACGTTTCGTCAAAAAAGTTTTGACTTCATCAACAAACTACAAATGGTGGAAGG